TCTTTATTTTGTAAAGTATTGAAATATAAAAATACAAGAAAATAAGTTAGAGTCAGAGAAAATATAAATTAAAAAGTGATATCCTAGTTGGAAAGCGGAAACAGTCATATAGGTCACAGAGCCCTAGAGTGTTGTTAAAACTGAACTTCTAGTAGACTCTGAGTGTATGGCAGCCAAATCAAAAAGGGAAAAAAAAAGAGCAGTCACATAATCTCCATCATTCATGAGGACAAAACATCAGTTCTTATGACTAGTAACACTTTTAAATGAGTGAATTTTCTTGGGAAGGAATTTATAAATGAGGTAGAAAATGATGCATGGCATATACGCTCTTGCCAACATCTTCATGGTAAACGCAATAGTAGATTTTAAAGGGATGTTTCTTATAGGACCCTTCTCTTCCCCTTCCCTACTTAATTTTCCCCACAGCATTTATCACCGAATTTATTATTAATCATTTCATGTGTCAGTCACTCCCACTAGAATATAATCTCCATGAGAGAGTCTTGTTCACTTTTGTGTCCCCAGAACAGTGCCTGGCTCTTCATAAGTGCTCAATATATATGGGTGAATAAGTGAACACAGGTATGACTGCAATTTTTTTAAGCTAGAACTTTTCAAAGTAAGCTTCCTACCGCTGTGTGAGAAAGTTTCATTACTGTACGAATGGAATATTTGACTTCAAGCTATTGAGAAAAACTGAGATTCTGCATTGGTTTTTAAAATTAATCTCTGAGGGTCATTTTTCATTTTACTTGAAAAAATATTTTTACCTATAAATATATAATAATTTTTCAAGGAAGTCCCTCTCTGTAACTTAGCTATGCTACTAATTTTAACTAAGTCCATTTTGTCTCTTACGCCAGTTAACTCAGTTGGACATAGGTTACTGCTATCATAGTCAGTGGGTTAAACTCAGGGTTGACAGAATAGTTTATACACATCAGTGATCAAACACAGTTTTTTTTGTTTTTACAATAAATACACTAAAAACATACTTTCCTAATAAATATTTATGGCCCCTTACAAGTCAAAGTCTTGAAGCTATTTAAAAATCTTTTTAATATTATAGGAAAGTTCTTCATTCTTAGAAAGTAGACTTTGGAAGAAATCTAACTTTATGGACAGCGTGACACATAATACACAAATATTTAACTAAAATTTTACGGTCAAGGGTATGTAAACATTTGTTAATCTTCTTCCTCATCCATCAGTCAAAGTTTTAGAATCAATTCAGTGCTTTGCTTGGTCAAAAGCAATTGTTTCAACAATTTCTTAAGGTTTCTTTCAAGTTTCCTTCTTAAAACAAAATGCGTGGCTTTCGTTTTATCTTTCAATTCATTCAACTACGCTTCAATTTTTAAAAAAAGTATATATATATATATATATATATATAAATTCAATCAATGCTAACTGAAAGACATTTGATTTGGGGCGTTTAATAATTTATTTTCACAAGTAACATATTTTCCATGGAACTTGCCAGATGAATTATATGCAAAATGTATCCCCCAAATGACCAGAGAAATTTATCTGAAAAATGGAATGACTGGATACAAACCAAGTAATTTTTAGTGGACAGCTGCCAAAAATAGTCACATGGAGTAATTTATTATGATGCTGAGGCCCGGTTTGGAACTGTGCCTGCTGGGTATGCACAGCTTTTACATTCAAAGGCGGTCACAACTCTGCAGATGCACAAGGGGCTCCAGACAGCCTCTTGCAAATATCAGCGTTGTGCACTGTTGTCCATTGGAGCAAGGACAAGGTTTTCCTTAGAAGAGAGATCTACTTTTCAATTTTTATTTATTTATTTTTATTTTTTCATTGAAGTGTAGTTGAGTTACAATGTTGTGTTAGTTCTGGTGTACAGCAGTGATTCAGTTATATGTATTCTTTTCTATTATGGTTTATTATAAGACATTGAGTATACTTCCCTGTGCTATACAGTAGGCCCTTGTTTATATATAGTAGTTTGTATCTGCTAATCTCAAACTCCTAATTTATCCCTTCCCCACCCCCTTTTCCTTTTGGTGACCATAAGTTTGTTTTCTATGTCTGTGAGTCTGTTTCTGTTTGGTAAATAAGTTTGCTTGTATCATATTTTAGATTTCACATATAAGTGATATCATATGGTAGTTGTCTTTCTTTTTCTGACTTACTTCACTCAGGATGACAATCTCTAGGTCCACCCATGTTGCTGTAATGACATTATTTTGTTCTTTTTTATGGCTGAGTAATATTCCATTGTATATATGTACCATATCTTCTTTATTCATCTGTTGATGGACATTTAAGTTGCTTCCATGTCTTGGCTATTGTAAATAGTGCTGCCCTGAACATTGGGGTGCATGTATCTTTTCAAATTAGAGTTTTCTACAGATATATGCCCAGGAATGGGATTGCTGGATCCTATGGCAACTCTATTTTTAGTTTTTTGAGGAACCTCGATACTGTTTTCCGTAGTGGCTGCACCAATGTACATTCCTACCAACAGTGTAGGAGGGTTCCCTTTTCTCCACATCCTCTCCAGCATTTGTTATTTGTAGACTTTTTAATGATGGCCATTCTGACCAGAGCGATATAATACCTCACTGTAATTTTGATTTGCATTTCTCTAATAATTAGCAATGTTGAACATCTTTTCCTTTGCCTGTTGGCCATCTGTATATCTTCTTTGGAGAAGCATCTATTTAGGTAGAAGACAGAAAAGGAGTTTCCTAGTTACAAGGCTGCCTTTCTAATAGTCCTTAATGAGCTTTTCCCAGCTTTCAACTACAAAGTCTATACAAACACACGAAAGGGGGAAAAACTCACAGCATCAAAAAAAAACCAGATAAGAAGTCAACTATTGCTAGAATGCAGAGGGAACTTCCGTTTGCCACAAGGAGGTATGAGATGATAGAAACAGAAGGCAGAAAATTTACCTCTAACTTAAGTAGAAAAAGCCATTGCTTTTATTCCAGTTCTAGTTTCTAAGATATAATTGATGAGTGTGTCCTTAAACTAAAGAGGACTTGATTATGCAGTTTATAAGGATGTGTCCTATTCCCTTAACAACAACTACAACTTCAACTAACAAAAGAAAGACACCTACATAAAATCTGGCTCTTTTGGTTGAGCTAAATGTCATGTTTGACTGTCTGGCTTCTTGGTTGGTTGCAGAGGTCAGAGTTCCATCCACTCCTGGTTTAGTCGCTTGTGACAAGAGGCATCCTCTTATGGTGTAAACTGTGATCTCACCATGCAGGGGACAGTTTTTCTTAGAAAAGGAGTCTGTGGGTTAGGGCAAGTTAGATGGAGGCCATAGAAATATAACTACAAATAGAATGCAGCCATAAAACAATTTTACCTAATGACCTCTGTGGGTTTTCCTTCCAGGAATGTAAGGAGTCAATAGTAGGGAATTTAAACATTCAATTCACATACTGATAGGTTAGAGATAAAAAAGATAATTTTTAAAAATAGAAGCTAAAATGGCATTTGATAAAATTTGATCATTGTTCCAAGCATTCTACTTAGTGATAAATTCTACAAACCTCCCTTTGAAATCAAAATTATTCTGGATGTGCCACCAATGTAACCATGAGGACTAGAGAAGAGAAGGTGACATTATCATGATTTGCAATTGATGTTCTCTTTGTTTTTTTTGGGGGGGGGGTGCTTGTTTTATCTGAAAAACTCAAGAGAATCAACTAAAACCTCTGACCTGTAATGAGAGCCCAGGGTGATGACAGGTAACATAACGTTATCACTTTACATGTCAGTAATAATCGCTAGCAAGTATGATGGGTATTACAAGAAAGGGGTGAGGAAAGGATCTCATTAGCAATAGCTACAAAGAAATCTAAATATTCAGGAGTAACTTAATCAAGAAATGGACAAGAAGTATAAAACTTGATTAAGAGACAAAAAATTAAAGAGAAGACAACCCTTTTGTTTTTTAAGAGAAAAGATGTTGTGTAGTGCTTGGTGGGGGTGGGTGGGTACGGGGTGGGATCCTGAGTTAACAATACCTGGAGGAGCCCAGAGAGTCCTGTAAGATCAAGGGCAGGAGCCTGGGTCCCCCACCCCCTCCAGAGAGGGAAGTAGGCAGGGCTGGGAGAGGCTGTCGGCGGCGGGGCTTTGAAACACCTGCCTGATGTGTGGGGCTTGGGGAGAGCTGGGAAGGGTTCTTTGGTCTGTTTTTTTTTTTTTTTTTTTTTTTTTTATGCAGTAAGTTTTATTTATACCATTCTCCTTTGCTTCCTCCTCTCCATTCTTCATGAGAATCTGCAGTCACATCTACAACAAGGCTTTGGAGCCAGATCTGTGTTTTTTTTAGATGCATCACCACCCTCAGGCCAGCATTAGGAAGAGAGCAGGAAGGCTCTGTTTTATTTGGATTTTACAACTGCCTCAGAAATGAAGCTTCCAGTCAAATGCAGTTCTGTGGGTCTGACTTATGGTCTTTTACTAGTATAACAAACCAAACAAAACGGTCCTTTTTATTTTCCCTCATCTGCGTGGCTGCACATTGAGCCTCATGTGCAGAGTGGTTTGGTAAATTCTCTCAGTGATTTGGAAGGGTGGGCCCCGTGCCACATTTCCTGATGCTTTTGTCGCAGGCACTATCTATGCTGAAGGATTTCATTTGGAGTGACATCTAATTTAATGACTGTAGCTCAATACATCTGCTCTGGCATAATTCTCATTTCCATGTCAGGCCAGCAAAACTTTATTTTTTGCTTAAAATAATTATTTTTCCATTTATGGTTTAGGAAGGTTGAAAACCATTGCGATACATATCAATAAAAAACATGTTTGAAATTAAACTGTAAAGAAATAGACTATTTTTTAAAGCTATGATTTTAATCAGATCATGATATAAGTGATACGATTTAAATACTTAGTGTTGATACAATTATAAAAATAAGTGGTACGTTTGAACTTTGAGTTTCACAGTCAACGCACACATTTTAGGGGACTCAAGTAACATACACCATATATTTGTGTTTTAGGCAACTTTTTCGTGTAACTGTGATGATCAGTACACGGGTACTTTCTGTGAAGAATTTGACGCCTGCCAGAGGAAACCCTGCCAGAACAATGCGAGCTGTGTTGATGCGAATGAAAAGCAAGATGGGGGCAACTTTACCTGTGTTTGCCTTGCTGGTAAGGTTTCCATAGTTCATAGTTGCTATGTGTCTCTCTGTAGAATAGACACTTATTAATTAAGGATGGTTAAGCATACATTGTTGGACAGGTGACTTTAAGGTCTCATTTGGTTCCATCAGCCCATGCTGATAGAAATGGAGGAAGGAAGTTTCTATGGGGATAAACATCATGTTCTTTGGCTGGCTTTCTGATGTTAGGATGCTTCTGTCTTAGCATTCCACCATTTTTGTTCTGGACTAATGATATTCCTGGTCAAATAGAGGCCTGGATGTTTCAAAGACAATTCTGCAAATATGTACTGAATGTGGGCTGGCGCTGTGCTGAGTGATAGCATGCTAAGTAACTTAAGGAGAATTTAGGCTAAACTATGCAGGGTGTTAGGTAATGCCACCCAGTCCTCTCATTTGTGTTCATTTCCTTGTGTTCACGTATGTTCATTGTTCCAAGTTCTTGGAACACCATCCTGCACAATGGGGCAAGTCTTTAATATTCCTTGGTTAGTATGGGGGATTCATTGATCTTACATGAGACTTTCAGACCCTCGGAGCACAAAGGAGAGGGCAGAGGACAACAGACTTCTATTCTCTGGCAATCATCTTATTGACTTACTGCTCAGCCAATTGGTTATAAACATAAACCCTCAAGGAGCAGGAATGGCATTTTATTGGTGAACATTTTGATACAGCTATTTTGATGCAGCTTAAAGGCGAACACCAAATTACTCCTTTTTTATCATCAATATCATGGAAAACTGACATCATCTTTCTTTTTCCATCTCAGCCTGTTGCCAACATTTGCCACTGGGCAGGGATTCAGGGTGATGTAGGAGCTGAGGATGGAGTGAAGTGGGAGTTGGGGTGATTAAGTGCTCATTGTAAGAAGCAAGGCCCATCCATGCAGAAATTCATAAACAAAAAAGGGAAAGTCCTTCACTCATCTGTCCCAGCCCAAACTCTATAATAAGGGTAGGTCAATAGTTTGATATATTTTTTCCAGACCAGTGTGTGTGTGTGTGTGTGTGTGTGTGTGTGTGTGTGTGTGTGTGTGTGTGTGTGTGTGTGTGTGTGTGTGTGAGATTTCCCTTACAGATCAGATGATTGAGTATTTTTCTATATATTTAAAAAAACTGATTATGGTATACATACGGCTCTACAACTTACTTTTTTCAGCGTATATTTACCAGTAGATCATACATATCCTTCCGTGTCAGTACATATGGGGCTACCTTATTCATTTTAACAGTTTCGTAGCACATCTCCTAAATTTGTATCTCCAGGTGAGACTACTGCCTACTTGCCATCTCCATTCAGATGTTCCAGACCACCTTAAGCCCAGTCATTCCAAAACTGAGTTCATCACATCCCCAGCTCCACACAGCTCAGCTTCTGGTGTTCCATCTATTTCTACAAGCCAGACATCTACAGGTCACCCTAAGTGCCCCCACCCTCTGTCCTTTCTGCCTCCAAGTGTTCTCCATCTTACCACCAAAAGACTTCGCAAATCCCCCCGCCCCTTCTCTGCAGCCCCACTGCCACTGCTCCCAGGCTAGCTGCCTTTGCCCCTTGTCTGTGTAACTGAGATAACCTCTCACACTTTCTCTGTCTCCTCTTGACTGTGCTGTGCCCTGGAACCAGAGTGATCACGCCAAAGTGAGCCCTGGCTTTCGTTATGTCAATGCCCCCAGACTGTCCATTCTCCTGGGTGGTTATTTTCCAGTGCAGATCTGATGTAGCTGCTTTCTCCCACTTAATCCCCCTCTTCCCATCGCTCCTGGGATGAAGACCGGAGTCCTCATCCTCCTTCTCCTCCGTGACCTGTCGCTCACCCACCTTTCCAGCCCCATCTCACCCCACTGCTCACCTTGCTCTGGGACCAGCTACCTTGGCCTTTCATCTCCCTGCCTGCATGAGCTGCTGCAGGACCACCTCCCCGTCTCTGTGCCTGGACAGCTCTCCCTGCTGCCTCCCTTTTGCCTGGTTTCTACTTTGGACCTTGTTAAATGCCCCCTTTCCTTGGGAAGTCTCAGCTGAATGCTTCAGTCTAGGTCTCCTTCCCTTTTCCTCTTTCATAGCTGGGCGTTCCTTTCCTTCACAGCCCTCATCTGTTTGCAGTGGATGTGTACACATGTGGTTCTTTGATTCCTGCCTGTCTTCCTCCTCAGAGTCAACCCTGTGAGAGCAGGACCTGAATAGTTCCGTTCAACATTGTGTCCCACCGTGTCTGATGAATCCGGGATGCTCAGACAATGTGCTGATGAGATGGATTAATGAAAGAGTATGAACGTGGCCTGATGTTTTAAACCACTCCTCTATTGATGGGTCTTTAAGAGAGTTTCAGTTTTATTTCTCTTTTATAAGCGATGCTAGGATGAATAAAGATCCTTCTATAAATAGTCTCAATCAGGGCTGGTAGGTGGGGCTTGTCACTGTTTGGACTGAAATGATTTGTTTGATATTTTACTCAGGTCTGTTCTCAGAGGAGATTTCTCTATTTTTAAAGGAACTCAGGTGCATAGAATTGGAATGACCATAATGCTTGGTTCGTGATACTCTCTCATCTTGTCCATAGCGTGCTTTTCTATATTTACTTAGATACTTTAATATGCAGTAATCACTGGTGGAACCACCACCAAAACCAGAAGTTCAACCTGATGACTAACCATATAGTCTCCTCATCAGGCCATCCCTCGGTCTCCCTTCCCCATCCAGAGCTGACAGTCACCCTGAATCTTGAGTTGATCCGTCCTTTGTTTTCCTCTTTATATGATCTTGGTATTTACATGTTTTTTGTTTGTTTGTTTGTTTGTTTGTTTTTGCGGTACGCGGGCCTCTCCCGTTGCGGAGCACAGGCTCCGGACGCGCAGGCTCAGCAGCCATGGCTCACGGGCCCAGCCGCTCCGCGGCATGTGGCATCTTCCCGGACTGGGGCACGAACCCGCGTCCCCTGCATCGGCAGGCGGACTGTCAACCAGTGCGCCACCAGGGAAGCCCATATTTACATGCTTTTTACAGAAGATTTTATCTTTGTTTTAACTGTGCTCAAATTTATAAAAACAGCATCATGCGTGAATCGTGTTATGTCATCATGTGTGTAATTGTCTGGTGCTTACTTTTTTCACTTGATCCCGACTTGCTGAGATGCATCTACATGGTTGCAGTTCATTCTTTTGGATTACTATATAAAATTTCATTGCTCTGTTCTCCTGTGGACAGGCACAGATAAGCACATTCTTGTATGCCTTCCATTGTTTATGTGCTAGGGGTTGTTTTAGGTTGTACCTAGGAGTGGAATTGCTGGAACATAACATATATGACTGATCAATTATAGTCGGTCTTGCCAAACTGTTTTCCACGGTGGCTGCACAAATATATACTCCCACATGAAATGCATAAGCGATCTTATGGATTCAGATTTTCTTCAATATTTTGTAGTATCAGAAGTTTTAATTTTTGCTAACTGAATGGGTGTAGAAAAGGTACCTCATTGTGGTCTCTGTATTTTGTGGTTCACTAATGATGCTGGGCTCTTCTTCCTATGGTCATTGTTTTCCTATCTCTTGTCCAAATTTGTGTGTGTGTGTGTGTGTGTGTGTGTGTGTGTGTGTGTGTGCGCGCGCGCGCTCTTCTCATTGGTTTGCAAGAGTTCTCTGTTTCTTTTTTGTTCTAATCATTTGTCATTGTCAATTGTATGAATTGAAGATATTTTCTCCAAATGTGTAATTTGTCTTTTCACTTTGCGGGATCTTTTTTTAATTGGAGTTTAGTTGATTTACAGTGTTGTGTTAGTTTCAGGTGTATAGCACAGTGATTCAGATATGTATTCTTTTTCAGTTTCTTTTTCCTTATAGGTTATTATAAAATATTGAGTAGAGTTCCCTGTGCTATACAGTAGGTCCTTGTTGGTTATCTCTTTTATATATAGGAATGTGTATATATTAATCCCAAAACTTTGAGGGATTTTTTTTTTTTTTTTTTGCGGTACGCAGGCCTCTCACTGTTGCGGCCTGTCCCGTTGCGGAGCACAGGCTCCGGACGCGCAGGCTCAGCAGCCATGGCTCACGGGCCCAGCCGCTCTGCGGCATGTGGGATCCTCCCGGACTGGGGCATGAACCCGTGTCCCCTGCATCGGCAGGCAGACTCTCAACCACTGCGCCACCAGGGAAGCCCCATTTTATGTCCTCTTTAAGAAAATATTTTCCTTCCTAAAGATCTAAATGATATTCAAGTATATTTTCTACCAGGCATTTAAAATTTTTGATTTTCAGCAAAGTATTTAATTAATATGAATTTGATTTTTGTATATATGGTTTGAAATTGGGATATTTTATCTTTTACTCTAACTTTGTTTTTCTTCTTCGAAGATACTCCATTTCTATAAATACATAGTATATGAAACCTTTACACTGTGCCCCCTTCTCTAGAAAGCTGCTGATAGAATTTGGAATGACTGGATACTTTATACATTTTTAACTGTGCTTATTCTCATTTTAGACATTTCTGCACTGTCAGTGTTTAACCGTTGATTTGAAATTTCCAGAAGCAGTGTAAATTAGTTTTTGCTTATTAGTGGGGAGAAGAATTTCACCTCTATCATCTAAGATGATTTAATATCTTTCACGTGGATAGCACATCATGGCTTTTTCTGGGTGTTTCCAGGTGGCACATATAGACATACAGCATTCTCCTTGGTTCTTCTAATAACAACAATAACAATAAAAATAAGTACTTTGACTTTCAATTAGCTTCAGGAACAGAGAGTTGCACTCTAAGAATTGGATTTTGATAATTAGACTCAGGGACAGTTTGGTGATTTCCAGTAAATTCATTAGAATTGCGCTGGAAGCTGAGATACGGCAAACAGATCTTGATTTGCAAAGTGATCATCTTTTATTTCTTCTATTAAAACAACAAAACTATAACACCACATTTGTAAGTCGCTATTGTTTTAATAAACGACTTTCTAACAGTTGTTCTTCAATTTCCTGAATATTACAGGTT